TGGGTTGGCCCCTTTCTAGGCTGCCCTGTTCAAGCCATTCAGGCGACTATTTGTTATCCCAGGGGCCTACCCAGCCTAAAACCTAAACTGTACCCTAAACCCTAAACCCTAAATCCTGAACCCTAAACCCCAAACCCCAAAATCCTAAGCTACATTTTTTGGAAGCTCCAAATATCCTGCAACTTGTTCTTCGGGCCTATGGGATGGTCATCTTGTACCAGGGTTTAGGATTTAAGGTTCAGGGTTCAGGGTTTAGGGTTCAGGGTTTAGGAATTAGGGTTTAGGATTTAAGGTTCAGGGTTCAGGATTTAAGGTTTGGGGATTAGGGTTAGGGTTTAGCGTATAGCGTCGTATAGCTTTAGGGTGGATTTACTTGTTTTGGCTACTAGAAGTCCTGAAAGCAAACCAGGCAGCACAGGCACAGTACCTTTAAATCAGTGAATGTAGGTGCAAGGATCAGGGTTTAGGTGTACGTCTATTAAATCCCGTCACATACCAGGGAACCAAGCAGCTACGGTCTATGTTCCTAATCGGAGTAAGAGGCAATAGGCGCTCTACGAACCCCTGCATATTCCCCGTTTCCATTTGATTCTCCTTTCCACTTGATTATCCATCTGTGGTAATCATGTAGGCCTACATAACACTATATGACCCCATAATCCATATATCACCCTCTACACCCTAAACCCTAACCCTATGCCCTAAAACCTGTCCAAGAATTTGCAGAGCGGTTCCCAGCCATCGCGGACAGTGAACTCCAACAGCCTCTCATGAACACAATTTCGGGCTCAGGGTTGTTTCAGGGGCTTAGAAGTAAGGGTTTAGGGTTTCAAGCTTATGGATGAGGATTTGGGCTTCCAACTTTGGGGTTTAGGGTGGGGGGGGGGTTCTTGGGGAGAAGTGTCTTCAGGAACACTATCACCAAACCTGTCATCAAAACATAGACTATGGGAGAGACTCAAACACCAAGTGTTGTTAGACCCCAAACCCTAAACCCTAAAACTTTAACCCTAAACCCTTAACCGCGTAGCTTTCTAGCTTATACAGCATGCCTGGGCAAGGCCTTTGACACTGGCACTTGCACACAGTCACACCAACGGCTTAGAGTTTAGGGCTTCACTCAGAGGGTCGGTCCGCTAGGGAGGTGATGATGTAGCATGTAATACGCGTAAGGGTTCTTTGCGGCCCCTTTATATGCTATACAGCAGATGGACCTATAGTCTTACAGGGGGTTCTCAACAAAACCTCAAGCCCTCCCGGCTGGCTCCCAGTACCCTCTCCTCACCCCGGTCGCACCAAGCCTAGGATTTATGTTCTAGCCTTTTAAGTGTGGGGTTAGTGTTTAGGATCCGAGGGTTAGCATTGAGGGCTCAGGACGTCCCATCGCACGTGGCTGAGGGACAAGGCACAGATGGCCACCGCATTCCCAGGAGTCTGTGGACGAGGGCACATCCTTCGCCAAGCGGCTCTTGGATGATTTTGTTTAAGCATCTATCGCAACTCGGCATTCTCAACATTCCCACCATCTGTGAGACACCACAGGCTGCCACCCAAACCATGGCCGTTTCGACTTGAATTGGTGACCTCAATTCCCCCGTTCAGGATCAGCTTCTCAGTTCCTGGACCACCTGAGTCCCAAGGCCCCTGGTCCAGGAATTCGCAGTCAGGAGGCCGGGACCCTGGCCAGGGTTTTGGCAAGGAGACAAGGGGGTTTCCCAAAACTAGGGGAACCTTTTTGGGGGTCCCCATAATAAGAACTGTAATTTTTTGGATCCATATTGGGGTCCCCCTACCTAGGGAAATCACAATGTGGTGGCATGTTTTCAGGGCTTTGCACCTCCAGCGGAACGTACGTTGTAGCTTTGGCCCAGCTGGGGCTGGCTGGAGGCTGGATTCCCGATGTATCTGAGTTGCTGTTAAGGAACTTAATTTAAGTTAATATATGGGGAAAACTCTGTGATTCACTATACATACCCATTCTGGTAACTTAATTTCAGTTCCTTAATAGCCACCCAGGTTTGGGAGGAGCCCGGAAAAGCTCTATATTCGTCCACTTCCCGTCGGCACCTGCCATTGTCTTACCTAGTACGGGTGTAGGCTGATGTGTGTGTGTTTTCAGTGTCTGACCACCCGAATAATGGGTGGGAACGGCCTAAGCAGGACGCGTGGGATTTTAGGGTATGGTGTTTAGGCTGTACGGCTACTTGGAGGGTCATGGGGACTCAGTACAGTAAGTAGGTTCAGAACCCCTCTAAGCCATATTAATAACCCCAATTATCCCATTTTTAACACAATTACTAGGTCCCCATGACCCTCCAAGTAGGGTTTAGGATTTAAGGCTACTGACACCCAAAACTCTGATTCCGTCCTCCAAGCTACACGCCTTATGTACGGCAGGTCAATATGAAAATACTTAGGGTGCCCGAATCGGGGCCATAATTTTTGACAGCCTCCAATACAGTTTATACAATCTCTACAGATGTCAATAGAAATCCCCAGGAACCCTTGAAACCTAAAGCCTGAACTTCACTTTTCCCTTGGGAGATTTGCCAGAGCCTCTCTGGCTTCACTAACGATCGGACGAGGGAATTGTGCTTCCTAACGCCGCAGCAGCAGTTTCAGGGCTCAAGGTCTGGGCTTCAGGACGTAGAGTTTAGGTTAGGGTTCTGGCTTGAGCTTGAGGTTCAGGGCTTGGGGCTTAGGGTTGCTGAGATTATGGGCCATTTCTCGGGATCACACAATACATTTTTTGGGATAATGTAATGGCTAGAGAGTAAATCGATTACAGGATGTCTGTCTCGGGCACCGGGCAGACGGGATCACAAGAGCGGCTTTCAAATCATTCAGCACTCTTGGGGGTCCTCTCCAAATGTTGACCGATCTCAATTTTGGACTTACAGTCCTAACCTTGAGAATTCCGGGACAATCTTCAAAACAAGGTGAGCTGACCATCGTCGACCAAAAAGAACTCACCTCGACCTCTAACGCCCTCAACGACTGGCATGACTTGTTTCTGATGCACGAAGGGCATCCGGAAAGAGCTTGTGGGGAGGCTCTGCGTGCCGTTTGGCAGCGTTTCAAACAGGTTGTGACCTGCTTCTACCCAAATGTACAACTGCGTTGCTGTTAACGAGCTTAAGTTAAGTTACTATAATCAGGAAACCTTCTTACCTACTGTATAGCCATAGTATGGTAACCTAAATTAAGTTCCTTAACAACAGCCCAGAAAACTGGTACATTGGATCTTCAGGCATGGGGCATTTCTCAAGACAACAAAAACAAGAAGCATAGAAGCATTGACGGGCCAATGAAGCCTTAGCTTCAAGTTTCAGGTGGGTAGCGGTAGCCTAAACATCCCTAAACCTTAAACCCTGTATTTGAAGGGGATCTTTGCAAAGTCAGAATTGCCCCGGCAACAGTTAACTGAGGCCAGGCAAAATTAACATGTTCTCTTGCTAACGGAGAACCGGCCTCACGACAATGAAGGGCTTAGTTAGGTTTTAGGTTTTAGGGTTTAGGGTCCAGGGTTTGGTTTAGGTTTAATTTATTCTAATCAATAGCCCTCCCTTACTTCGAGAGCATGATGCAAATCCTGATTTTGGGACCCTTGGAGAACCACAGGCACTCGGAACCTTCCTAAAGCGTCCATAAGGGGGCCCCAAATAAAAAGACATCCAGAACTCAGAACCGCCTAAAACATCCGTAAGGCTCCGTAAAGTATTATAGGGTCTCCTAACAAGCCTTACTGGTGGTTAGTAGGGAATATGGGAATGGAATCCCTTTACTCCCTTTTTAAATATATTCCATTATTCCTTACCAACCCCTAGTAAGATGCGGCACACATGGGGAGCCCCTGAATCTTTGCAGACAAGCTTCTCGTACTGGACGGCTAACCATCCCGCCCGGTGTTCCTGCTGGCCATCTTCAATGAGCTTCAGAATTTGAAAGTAAGCCTATTGGGGACTTTTTCCCATAAGGTTTAGGGTTTGGGGGCTTAGGGCTCAAAACCCTAAACCCTAAACCCCTAAACCCCTAAATCTCTAAACCCTAACCCCTAAACCCCTAAACCCTAAACCCCTAAACCCCTAAACCCTGAACCCTAAACCTCAGGTCCTGGCTTTGGTAGATGAGCTCCTGGGTTGCTGTTAAGGGGAACCTTAGGGAGGGTTTAGGGGTTAGGGTTTAAGGGTTTGGAGTTCAGGGTTTAGGGGTTTAAGATTTAGGGTTTAGGGTTAGGGAATATAATGGAATAATGGGGATTACTATGCTTCCTACCATTTTTGGACCACCCCCCCCCCTTAAGGACATCCTAAGTTAAGGAGCCTTAACTAAGTTACTATAAAAAGGAAATCTCTGTATTTACTATATACCCCTCAAGATGGTAGGTTTAGCCTATAGCTCGAATTACACCCCATAATACTCCCCATATATAATCCCCTACATATCCCCCTTTAAAGAATTTAGACTTTAGCTCAAAATTCAATTCCTTAACAGCAACCCAGGTTCACAGGGATCGAGCCACAATGTCTTCCTCCCCATGATGCATCCTTAGCAGTCGCACTTTAAGATCTACCAAAGCCCAAATCCTAGGGTTCAGGGTTTGTTTAGGGTTTAGGGTTTAGGGTTTAGCCTTTAGGGTATCAGGGTTTAGAGTATTAGGGTAACTCGTAGAGTTTAGGGTTTAAGGTTTAAGGCTCAGGGTTTAGGGATTAGGC